ACTTTCTTTGGTTTTATTCGGGGGCTAGGTCCGACTTGAACGAATTAAGAGATACTGACCATAGATAGTGAAGATCAACGGTCGAAATCTCCTAATTTGTGCAAGTGGGACCTTGCCCCGGGTTTCGAACACATCTTGTTTCGCTAAGGAGCGCTCGCGTAGCGGAGGCTCGCCTGGCAGAGCTAACGTGCGTTAGCTTCGCTTGCCAAATTTTGCTGCGGGTGGAGGCATGAAAGCGGTGTGGGGCTTAGGGTGCACGGGCGCGCAGGGACACGCTCCACGACGGCGAAACCCCTCGGCTTTTACCCATCTCGGTCGACACTGTTCCACGTGGAACATGTTGGCAATCCCGTTCGGCCTTAGGAGCCTGAGGATAGACGCATGTGGTGGTGGTTGACGGGCGAGGTTTGGGCGCTCCATTATACCTAATGGAAACCTACCAGGGGTTGTTCCCCCTGGCTTCGATATGGAGCTTCGAGGTGATGGAGATACCAGTTGCTGTTTGCTTGCGTGGCATGTGTTTTGAATCTTCTTTTTCATGGGTCGCCATCTGCTGACTGGAGCGACAGTCAACTCAGGAGTAGCTTGTGGGTCATCGGTTGACCACGTGCATGAAGACTTGTCTGGGTGGCCTGGTGCAGCTTCAAGTTGTGGCGAGGCTTTGTTGATTGCGCGGATGCTTCGTCGATGTTGGCTTTGGATTCGTCCATGCTGGTTCATTTGGTTGCTTGGTATATTTGGCTCGTCATTTTAGACGAGAAAAAATTCTGGTAGCTTTTACTGTTTAGTTTGAGGTTTTCGTTTGTAGATGCTTCTTTGTTCTGTTGCCCGCCAAGTTAGGCGAGAGATTAGTCTTCTTGTTCTTGATTGATTGGGTTTGTCATTGTTCGTGGTCCAGATGAGGTGAGAGTCGGAAACCTTCTCGCGTTTCTCTTTGCCTCTCTGCGCTTGCCTGGATTTTGGTCGGAGCTTACGCATCTGACCGTCAGGATGACCAGATTTG